TGGGGAGCAGCCGCGATGCGCTCACCCGTTCAGTGTCCGGCCCGCTGGAGGGCCGCTGGGCTTCTTGGTGGCCGGAGCGTGGGGACACGGCCAGAGAGGCGGAAGCTGCATGGAAGGCGGCCGAGGCCTCTGCGCCCTGGGTCTGGGGGTGGGGGCCACAGGTGGTGGGGGCAGGCCCCATCCCCCAGGGCCTCACCCCATCTTTGGGCTGCCTGCAGCAGCTTTCTGCTCCGTGAAGGGGCGGCTGCAGTGTGTGGTTCTTTTCTGAGAGGCTGCTGGCAGAGTTAAGCAAGCTGGGAGATCGGCAGGTCAGGGCGCCCATAGCCTCGGGCTGTTCCTTCCTCGGCCCCCCCCATCCCCCCTTTCCCTCCACCCTTTCTTCTGCGCTGAAGTCTGTGCTTCTGTGACGCGGAACAGGGGTCCCGACTGAAGCCCTGTCCCCCGTGGTCAGTCCCCCCCGGCCACTCGCGAGGAGCGAGTCCCACGGCGGACCACGCGGCAGGGCTCACGACGGAAGCATGTTCCCACCCACCAAAGAGATGGCGCGTGCAATGGAAGCCTCTGGAGACTGGCCATGCAGCCTCATGTCCCGTGGTGGCTTGTCACGGCGGGGAGAGGCGCTCTGTGGTCTGCGGGGCCTCGTGTTCTGTTTTCAGCTTAGAGACTTCGTCTTTACAAATTCCCAAGGAATTGTTGACACTTTGGTGACCCCTGTGGATTCTCCGGGCGCCTCCCGGGCGCCTGGGCGCCCGCCCCTCCGGCACTGTGCCTTTTCCTGCACTGCTCCGGCTCTGGCGGCGGCGCCTGGCTCTCCCGCGGGTCCCCGTCACTGGGCTGATGCTGTCATGCAGGCAAGCACCAAGACAATCACACCTTCCTGAGCTCTCCAGGTGAGGGAAGGAAAAGTAGGGCTAGCCGTCGATGCGCACGGCGCGTGGCGTGTCCTTTTGCATGGCGCTGCCGCTGGCGCGTTGAGCTTTGCGACATTGTCACCCACACTTCCTCACTGTTCAGGGAATGCCTTCACGGCGCTTCTGCTTTTCCTGTGCAGACTGTGGCCTGGGCTACAGCATCCCGGTGTCAGCCACCGGGTCCTCCCGTCGCCACCCGGGGGCTTGTGTTTCTCAGATCAAGACACTGCTGGAAGCCGAGTCGTCGCGGACGGGTCATCTGTGAATTTTTTTGTTACTTGAAGTGGATGGCCTGCCCCGGGCGTCCTCGGCACCTGTCCCCACCCGCCCCCGTCGCGTGCAGGGCTCGCTGCGATTTGACAACCCACTGTGCCAAAACCCTGTCCGCTCACAGCTTGAAGGCCAATGCGCTTTCCCAGACACTGGTGACCGCAGCGGCGTTTGTAGTGTGTCAAAGGAGGAGAAAGGCCACGGGGCCAGGTTCTAGGGATCCCTGTGCGTGTCCTGTGACCAGGCCTCCGAGCCGGTGGGCACGGTGTCTCTCCGCGTGTAGGAGGGCGCAGGGGACACGTGGGTGAGGCGGGGTCACTGTGGGGGCATTTGAAATCACAGAAGTGAAGGTGATAGTTATTTATAATTTTGATGAGTTTATTTTTATAGGGAAGGTTTTTCTCCCCTACGGTTGTTTCTGGAATGGCAGAGTTGTTTCCATTATTAAAAACTGAAGCTGTCCGCTGACGTCTGTGTGTCTTTCTTTCTGACAGCGTGCTAGATGGGAAAAGGCCATGGGAGAGGCAGGGGCATGGGGACACGAGTGGGCGGCGATCTGTCCTTGGCGGGTCCTGCTCGTTCTCCCGGACGCCCGTCCTTCGCCTCGTCCTCTGTGGAAGAAGAACCCCGCCCAAGTGTCTGCTTGTTGGGCCCCTCCCTGTTTTGCCTAAAGCGGTTGCTCTAATTGTGGAATACTCGGACACTCGAACGTGTACAGGCCGGGCATGGCGGCTCATGCCTGGGATCTTAGCACTTGGGGAGGCCAAGGCGGGAGGATCGCTTAAGACCAGGAGTTCGAGACCAGCCTGGGCAGCATAGCGAGACCCCACCCTCCATCTCTACAAGCAGACAAACAAATAAACAGAAATTTAAAAAATAAAAATAGTGCAAAGCATGTGAAGAGTTCAAGGAGTTGTCATACAGATTCCCAGTGACCCTAACCAACTTAGAACCTTCTTGGTTCCCTGAAAATCTCTCCCCTCCCCCATTTCTGCTCTGTGCTTCCAACCCCTGAAACAGACACGTCTGCGTCGGGTATCCACGTTGTCGGACAGCGCAGCTGCCTTCCAGGATGGGACGGGGAGGGGTTGGGAATGGGGCCCTGGCGTGCCACGCCCCACCCTCCCCGCTGGCTGCAGGGAGTGTCTCTGCCGTGGGACTGCCCCTGCCGGCGCTGGGGAGGGAGGCCCAAGGCCAGCGCCAGGGTGAGGGGAGCCCGGGCTTGGGTCGGGCAGCTGCTTCACAAGCCAAGTATGGTGGGAAATCCTGGCTCTGTGCCAGACGTGGTGGCTCACGCCTGCAATCCCAGCACTCAGGGAGGCCGAGGCAGGAGGATTGCTTGAGCCCAGGAGTTCGAGAGCAGCCTGGGCAACATAGCAAGACCTCATCTCTCCAGAAAGTAACATCAGCCGGGCGTGGTGGCGTGCACCTGTAGTCCCAGCTCCTCGTGAGGCTGACGCGGGAGGATCGCCTGAGCCCAGGAGGTGGAGACTGTGGTGGGCTGTGATCATGCCACTGCTGAAGCCTGGGCGACAGTGAGACACGACTCAGCAAAGAAAGAGCAAGTCGTGCTCTCCAGCTCTCCTTTCTGGCTGAAGTACTGGGGTCGAGTCAGGGAGTCCGGCCTGGGCTCCTGCCAGTGCGCGGGGCCTGGCTTGGAATTCCTGTCCCTTCAAGGGAGGCTGCTTTCTACCCTGCCCGAGGCTTCTTTTCAGAACTCGCCACCAGTGGGCGACTGTTGTTTAAATAAATGCTCGGCCAGGCTCGGCGGCTCAGCCCGTGATCCCCGCAATTGGGAGGCCGAGGCGAGTGGATTGCCTGAGCCCGCGGGTTCGAGACGAGCCTGGGCAACTTGGCGAGACTTTATCTCTACAATAAATCAAAAATCAGCCCAGCATGGGAGGGCTACTTCCGGCTACTCGGAAGGCTGGGGTGAAAGGATCGCGGAGCCCAGCAGGTCAACACTGCGGTGGCCGTGAGCGTGCCACTGCCCTCCAGCCGGGGCGACAGACGAGACTCCGACTCAAAAACAAATAGCAGTAATAATCATAATAAAACAAAGGCTCATGTGTTCCCAAGGAGTCACTGCACACTCATCGGGGACACCATCGCGGGATCCTGGCAAGGGGACTCGTTTTATGGAAGGACAAGGGAGACGTGTGCTGTGATGCCAAGCCCTGGCACTCCTCTCGGACCTTACACGCGTCAGCTCACCCGCTGTTCCGGGAGGCAGGGACTGTTCAGAGCCCCTCGCACAGATGAGGAAGCAGACACTGCAGCAGTGGCCGGTCAAGGCCACGTGTGGGGGGGGCAGATCCGGAGCCACGGGGCTCTCCATGGGCTTCCGGAAGCGCCTTCAGCTTTGTGGTTAAACGCCTGTTAAAAGGATGTCAGCTGGGCGTGGTGACTCATGCCTGTCATCCCAGCACTTTGGGAGGCCGAGGCAAGAGGATTGCCTGAGTCCGGTGCTTGGAGACCGGCCTGGGCAACTCGGTGAGAGCTCGTCTCTATAATGAAGCAAACAATCAGCTGGGCGTGGTGATGCCCACCTGTGGTTCCAGCTACTTGGAAGGCTGAGGCGGAAGCATCACCGGAGCCCAGCAGGTCGAGGCTGTGGTGGCCATGAGCAGTATGCCGCTGCACTCCAGCCTGGGTGACAGGGTGAGACTCACTCAAACAAAACAAAGCCGAGTGCAACAGCTCATGACTGTCATCCCAGCACTTTGCGAGGCCAAGGTAAGAGGATTGCCTGAGCCTGGGGGTTCGAGACCAACTTGGGCAACTTGGTGAAACCCGTCTCTATAATAAAAATCACAAAAACTAGCCAGGTGTGGTGGCGTGAATCTGTAGTTCCAGCTACTTGGAAGGCTGAGACTGCAGTGGCTGTGAGTGTGCCATTGTACTCCAGCCTGAGCAATGGAGTGAGACTCCAACTCAGAAAAAAAAAGAATTGTACGGTGTCTTTTTGCCCGGATTCAGTGACTCAGCCTGCAATCCCAGCACTTTGGGAGGCCGAGGCGAGAGGATTGCCTGAGCCTGCAGGTTCGAGGCCAGCCCGGGCAACTTGATGAGACCTCATCTCTACAAAAAAATCAAAAATTAGCCGGGCATGGTAGCACGTGCCTGTAGTTTCAGCTGCTTGGAAGGCTGGGGCAGAAAGATCGCCGGAGCTCAGCAGGTCGAGGCTGGGGTGGCCGTGAACGTGCCCCTGCACTCCAGCCTGGACGACGGAGTGACTCCAACTCAAAAAAAAAAACATCGGTGAGACCCCACTGGCGGACAGCTCATCCGAGGGCAGGCCCGTCACAGTCCAGCTGCTTTGTGCCTCTGTCGTTCCGCTCAGGTGGTGACATCGCCACACAGGACGAGCTCCGGCCTGTGCCGTCACGG